CTTGCCAGGGAAGCACTTATTCTATTGAGTCATCTCTCTGGCCCTAAAACTTAGATCTACCTAATTAATTAATTAATTTATTTCTGTACTGGGGATTGAACTCAGGACCTTGCACTTGCTAGGCAAGCACTTAAACTACTGAGCTATCTCCCCAGCCCATCTCTTCTTTATTTTAAGCTGTGTTAGGAATGGAGATGCTGCCTTAATCAGGTGGGCTTGCTAACCCTTCTGCTGAGTGAGACAGCTGTAGAATCCAGCTCAGCCTGAGCATGCTCAGCTCCTTCTTCCCAGCCTTGATCTGCTACGGGTGAGCACGAGCAGGAGACAGCTGTCCGTGGCCACAGGCTCCCACTGGAGACCACTTCTTGGAAAACCACTGCTGCTTGAGTTGCACACTTAGAAGTTTAAATTAAATTGGCTTTTTAAAGGGGCAGCCTGGGTTTGAGGGGTTGGGAAAGCTCCCCAGGTGGTCCTAGTATATATCCAGGGCTAGAACCGGCACAAGTGAAGTGCTCCACGAGAAAGCACCAGAGGGGAGATATCCTGCCTCCCCTGTGGCAGTGGGTCCTACTCCATATTTATCGGTCATCTGCTGAGGTTTCATCCAAGAATGAATTTGTTGAAAGGAAGGAAGGCCTCCCTAAAACAATAGTAAGCCACTGTTCAAACCACAGGGGCAAACTAAATGAAACAGAGTGCTTAGGTAACCAAGGGAGTGAGGAGAGGAGAGCAGGGTGTAAACCCAGGTTGACAGAGCTCTCTCAGGAGTGCTGCCTCACAGCTCTTCATTTGTGCATAAACAATAGCTACGTGGCACTACAGATGTCTAAAGTGCATTGTTATGGACTAAAACAGAAGAGAAGTAAGGCAGAAGTGTTTTGTAGGTCTTCAGCTATGGTTCTTTGCTGAAAGGGATCTGATTGATCGGGGTCTGGATTTCCTTCACATTGTATGGGGCAGACTCCAGAAAGTTCACAGTAGCATTTCCAGAACAAATCCAACTCTCCAGTTCCTGAGTCCTAGAAGGATCCAGAAGGATCTTCTTCTCCTTTGGAACTCAGATCCCCTGTGCATGAATTGTTTGAGGAAAAATAAAAGTTTCTGCAGGAGGCTCACAGGACTAAGATAGAATGTCTTTCTGATTGCTAGGACAAAATACCTGACACCCACAAGTTAAAGGAGGAAAGGTTTATTTTAGCTCACAGTCTGCAGGTAGCTGGCTCCCAGGCAGGGCAGCATGGCAGCATGGCAAAGGGACAGAGTAGAGGAGAAACAGTTCATAGCATGGCAGGAAGGCATGAGGAAGCAGCAGCTTTCTTTCTCTTTCCCTTTTTCATTCCATCCAGGCTACAAGTCTGTTGGGTAGTACCACTCACACCCAGGCTGGGCCTTCCATTGTCTACACCCAGAACTATGCTAAACCAGTTAGTGGAGTAATCCAAGTATCACACCCATAATGTAGTCTCTCTCTCCCTCTCCCTCTCCCTCTCCCTCTCCCTCTCCCTTTCTCCAGCCACCTCCCAGAAGCCTCACTTGTGAGATTATAAGACTTTGGGGGATACATGTAGATATAAGCCATGACACAGAGAAGCAGAGAGGGAGAGGGAGAAGAAAAGGGAGAGGAGAGCAGAGAGAGGAGAGAGAAGAAAGAGTGGAAAAGAGAGTTGTACAGTATTAAGAGATTTCATGGACAGGAATTCTCTAGGTACTGCTTCATTATTTTACATATACTACCAGTAAACTTGAAACTTGACTAAAAATCTTTTTTTTTTAAATCCTAAAGAGTTCAAGGCGGTTTCCTGGGTTTCATTAGAAAGGCTCCCACTCCCGCAGGCAGGAGTAGCCAACTTTTCCAACTCTGGAGAATTTAGTCTTAGAGAGCTCAAGCTTCTGCAGCTCCATTTCAGAAGATGCCTAGGGAAGAAGGTGGCTGTGGGAAGCACAGAAAGATGGCCACCCATGGGACACGAGGAGGCCACCCAGAGAGTGTGCAGAGCACAAGAGGAGCTTTCTAAGGAGAACCATATTTAAGGGAGGAGCAGAAGTGAAACCTGCAAAGAAAGTTCTACAAAGAGGGGCCCAAAATGGAAACCAAGAAATGCTGTAATCCCAGCACTGTGGAGGCTGAGGCAGGAGGATCGCTGTGAGTTTGAGAACAGCCTGGGCTACAAAGTGAGGTCAGAGTCACCCTGAACTGCATAGCGAGACTCTGTCTCAAAAAGACAAAAAAAAAAAAAAAAAAAAAAAAAAAGGGGGGGTGTCAAAGGTGTTAAATGCTGCTTAAATAAAAAGGAAACTTAAGAATGAAAACATATGCAACACAGACAATGTTCATGAAATGCCAAACAAATGTAAATGTCCTCATGGTCCCTGGAGGTTTCCCTCACTCTCCACATCGATAGGACCCACAGCTTCTGAGCAGGCAGGGTACACCTTCCTGAATTAGGAGTCCTTGCCAATTTTCAGCTTTGCACATAGGCTTTCTTTTTTTGGGGGGGGTACAGTAGCTTTATTGATGGTATACAATGGCAGCGAGCCAGGGTTCCCAAGGCCCCTGCCCTCCTCGGGGGCCTGGGATGGAAACTGTGAGGGGGAGATTCTCAGTTTTGGGGTTGAGTATGTCAGTGACTTTATAGTGTGGCCCCTCTGTCCCTCTGGTCTTGCTGGGCTGCGGGGAGGGGGATCACTTACTCCTTGGAGGCCATGTGGACCATGAGGTCCACCACCCTGTAGCTGTAGGCAAACTCATTGTCATATAAGGAAATAAGCTTGACAAAATGGTCATTCAGGGTGATGCCAGCCCCAGCATCAAAGAGTAGTGTCACTATTGAAGTCGCAAGACACAACCTGGTCTTCAGTGTAGCCCAGGATACCTTTGAGGGGACCATCTGATGCCTGCTTCACCACCATTTTGATGTCGTTGTATTGAGCCGCTTTCTCCAGGAGGCAGGTCAGATCCACCACCGAGGCATTGGGAATGGGCACACAAAAGGCCATGCCTGTGAGCTTCCCATTCAGCATGAGAATGACCTTGCCCACAGCCTTGGCAGTGCCAGTGTATGCAGGGATGATGTTCTGGGCAGCCCCACGGCCATCGTACCACAGCTTCCCAGAGGGGCCGTCCACAGTCTTCTGGGTGGCAGTGATGGCATGGACTGTGGTCATGAGTCCCTCCACAATGCCGAAGTTGTCATGGATGACCTTGGCCAGTGGGGCTAAACAGTTGGTGGTACAGGAAGTGCTGCTGACGATCTTGAGGGAGTTGTCGTACTTCTTGTGATTCACACCCATCACAAACATGGGGGCATCAGCAGAAGGGGCAGAGATGATGACCTTTTTGGCACCACCCTTGAGGTGAGCCCCGGCCTTCTCCATGGTGGTGAAGACACCAGTGGACTCCACCACATACTCAGCGTCAGCATCACCCCACTTGATGTTGGCAGGATCTTGCTCTTGGAAGACGGTGATGGGCTTTCTGGTGATGACGAGCTTCCCGTCCTCAGCCTTGGTAGTGCCAGGGAACCTGCCATGGGTGGAATTGTACTGGAACATGTAGACCATGGAGTTGAGGTCAATGAAGGGGTCATTGATGGCCACAACATCCACCTTGCCAGAGTTAAAAGCAGCCCTGGTGACCAGGCGTCCAATACAGCCAAATCCTTTCACTCCGACCTTCACCATCTTGTCTGGATTGCTGCTGGCTGCATGGGAACAACAGCTGTTGGCAGGCAGCATGCAGGAGCAGAGAGCCTGCACACAGGCTTTCTTGAACCACAGAAAGACCATGGGCTCTCCAGTCAGAGGAGAGCCTTCACGATTCCCAAGCACCTTCCTTTTGCACGAGGACAGTAAGGTTTGGTGCTGTGAGCATGGAGGTCACCCCAAGCTACAGCATGTGACTGGAAATGGTGTCTAGTCTATTGAAGATGGGTAGAGGGAGGCAGAAAGGAGGGCAGGCTGCTTGACGGGAGTGCTTGACAACACCCCGCCCTGAGAGAGGCTGGCTCCTGGTGCTCCCTAGGGTTCAGGCTGCGACTGCCTTCTATCTCTAGGCTGCTAGTTCTCACTGTGGCTAGGTCAGAATGGTCTTGGTAAAACCCAACAAGCGCCTGAGGCTTTGGGGTCCTCTAACCACTACAGAATCAACATGTCAAGGGTGATTGGGAACCTGTGTGTCCTACAGTTGTTCCATATGACTCTGCTGCGAGCCGGCACAGAACACCCCCAGGGTGTGAATGCTCTGTGGTCCCCTCTGTCATCACCTCACAGCTGCTGCTGCTTCCCTGAGCCCAAAGGACCTGGTCCTAAATGTCCCTACCCCACCTCTGCTTTTCTTTTCTTTCTTTCTTTCTTTTTTTCTGAAGCACCAAATTTCCATTTAGTTTACTTATTTATTATGTTTGTTATATGTTTTATCCTGCTAGATGTATGTTCCAGGGGACAAGGTTTTCTTTTATGTTGCCATTAGCTGTCCTTATTAGGTACATAGCACATGATGGTAATGGCTGCTGAATAGATGGAGGAAGAAGCAAAGAACCAAGATTTCTACTTATTCTAACCAACAACGTATGGTTAGAAGACTACAATTGAGAGTAAACAAAAGGGCAATAAATTTATCAATAAAATATTAAATAAGAGGATGTAGCTGGGCTGGTCAAATAGCTCAGCAGATTAAAGGGCCTGCATGCAGGCACAGAAGCCAGGGGTTCAATCCCCAGGCCTGCCATGCCAGCCCTGCCCCAGGGATGTGCTGAGATGGCAATTGAGACTAGGCATGATGGTGCGTGCCTGTAGTCCCAGCTCTTGGGAGGCTGTAAACAGCCGGATCACTATGAGTCTGATCTAGTAGTGAGACCCTGAACACCTTGTAGACCCTTCTCTAACATAAAAAATTTAAAAAAGAGGATGTAGCCAATTGTTGGCTTTCTCTTTAGACAGTCATAAGTGTATCCACATAAAAATAGGGAACCAAGTTAAAAAGACACAAAGTCACAGGGAGCCAGGAGACAGCTTAGGGAGGCTGAACATCAGGCACTCAGCTGGGGACCTGAGTCAGTTTCCTGGAAACAACTGTGAAATATCCACATCTCTAGTCTTTTCTGAATTTGTAGGTAGCTCTTGGGTTTGTCGTCCAGCTTCAGGGTTTATTCACGAGATAAAGCTTTGTTTTCCCTTGCAATTCTGAGACTTCTTCCTTTAGAAGCTGGGCAGCTATGTCCTCCCCCATCTGTGTCGTTAGGTACCTTCATACCAAAAGCTCTGGGTGGCATTGTCTTTATTTATGTGGACATTAGTTTGCCTCCACCAACAGTGCTTGAAGTTACTTTAAAAGCACCATCGTATCATGCGGCCATATTTAGGATTCCGTTGGTTTCCAGCTCAGTCTGGCCAGGGATAAGATGTAGAGCTACAGAACAAGTGAAAATGGGATTGCTGCACCCCAGTTCAGGAAGAGACCATCACGGTCATAGCCTGGTGGCACACAAGTCATTGTGACTTATAATGAAAGGATTGCTGAGCATGGCTGGGAAAACAACCTTCCCCCGCCCTTTTTTTTTTTTGCTTAGGGAAACTTCTGCTTGGTAAATCTGCCAGAACTTCCACTCCACCTCCCAAAGGATTAATGGTTTTTTAAAAAGAGCAACTAGGAGATTTATTTAGATTTTTATAGGCTTTTGCTAGATTGTTTGCCCAAGACTATGAGTAAGGAATCCTGGGATCGTATAAAACTTTAATATAGATTGGGAAGTAAAGAAATCTGCTTAATGTTGTTTATTATGGGCTCAGTCAAGTAAGTTTTTTTCAGACAGGTGAAAACATATGTGGACAGTGAGCTTGACAGCTCATTATTGAGAGTAAGGAGGCTATTGGACCATCGTGGTCACTTTACAGTGCACCACACTCTGTAACGCCTCTCGCTCAGAATCTAAAGCCAGTCTCACCGGGGAGATAGCTGCAGCATCAGCACCTGCCTGGCAAGTGTGAGGTTCTGAGTTCAATCCCTGGTCCTGAAAAAAAAAATTCTTCTTAGATTTAAAAAGAATTTTTTAAAAAATGGGGCTAGGGAGATAACTCAGCAGTCTAAGAACCTGCCTGGCAAGCGCCAGGACCTGGGTTTGATCCCTAGTACTGCGTGCCATGTGGTCTCCAGAACCAGGCATGGTGGCACACGCTTGTAGTCCCAGCACTGGGGAGGCTGATACAAATCCGAGGTGTGTAGTGGTCCCTGTATGAAATAAATAAGTAAATAAATGATTAAAGAAAATTTAAAGCCAAGGTTAGCACTGACCGGGCCGTAGATCCAGCTGGATAGTACAGCTGCATGTTCTGCAACAAAATGCCTACAGAGGCTAGACAAAGATAAATGTGGCTCAAGGTTTTGGGGGTTCAAAGTCTAAGCTTGGATAGCACTGTTGGTTTGAGCTTCAGTGGGGATGGCAGATGGTGGAGAAGCAAACAGTTCTATCTCAAACTGGAATGCGGGGGAGGGTGGGGCAGAGGAAGAAGAGAAGAAGGAAAAAGGAAAGGAGAAAGAAAAGTAGGAAAGACAGACCTTTGACAGCATGTTCCAGAGACCTAAGATCCTCTTGTGAGGCCTTTCCCTTCAAGGTCCACAAGCCCTGCTCAGCGAAGCCTCCCTTGAGGACTAAGTCTACAAACGGGCCCCAGAAGCCACTCGACATCCAACAGACCCCAGTAGAAATGGGTGGCCATTTACTTATTCACCTAAATAACCCAGGATGATGGTGGCCCTCTGGGTAGACGGAAGAGACCTGGCAACCTGAGCCCCCGTAGATGTCCGTGTCAGTCAGGAGCGAAGGAGCACCGTGATCACAGCGCGATGTACCAGGACCTTGTTTTTATATCAGACAAACAAGAGAGGCTGGCATCTTGCGCAGCTCCAAGAATCCGGCTCTCTGCCTAATTTTTCACTTTCACCCAGATGTTTCTTGTCAGAGAGGCGCAGTCAATAATATATGACTCTCAGAGGCAGAGGCAGATGTGGTTATTATTCCCTGTAGGCCTTTCCTGCCTTAGAGAAGACATATTGCTCAAGAATGACTACAGTTTTTAAAAATTTAAGTTGATACAGCCAGCTTATGAGTAAATGCATAGCTCCAACCATTTCAGTGCAAAAGTCTTCGCAGAATTACAACCGTCATCATGGTTGTGTTCGGCCTTTAAATTTCTCCTGTAAACTCTCCGGACAGTCGCGTACCAGGGCTTCTAAGGCAGAACACAGTTTTCCAATAATGTTAGGGCAGGCAGCTTTCTCTAGACAGCTTCAGCCTCCAGCAGTCTATTTTTAATATTTGCTTTTATTTCTTAATCCTTCTGAACAATAAAAATGAAAGTCATTATAACCCAGTGCGGCAGTGGTAATACATACTTCAGGGTCCAAAAATACATTGTCCCTGCCTGACCAGTTGCCCATTTTCCAGAATGTCTGGGTTTTTATCTAGCAGCAAGAGACCATTATCCTGCGACATAGTTGTATTCCACTGACACCTAATCTCCTAATTAAAATCAGTATAATGATGGACTGTTTAAATTCTTGTTAAAACCTTGCTTTTCCATTTGCATTTAAAAGAAAACACACTCCTCATCACGGGTACCCCATCCTGGGTTATAATTTGGTTTTCCTTTGCCAGAATCATAATGTCACTCTGCCTTGCCGCTGGTTAAATCTAAAAGAGCATCTAAATGCGCCTCACAGCTTGGCGGTTGCTTAGCAACACCACCAGCCGCCTCCTCTTCGGGGTGAGTTCTAATTGGTCACAACTCTTGACAGGAGTCGCTGACTTATTAAAAATGACACTTGATTATTCACCTAGATGGCTAGAGCTGATACTTATCAACAGGAAATTTTGCATAAAAATGAGTCATGGATGTTTTTCATGTCGCGGTGGCTTTTAGCAAGCGGGAGAAGGAGGTGAGAAGTTTCATTAGCTAGAATTAATTGTTCACTGTAAGTCTCCAGTTTGGAGCGCCTTAAGGTATTTGTTTTGCCATTTTTCCCCCCAGCGAACACTAGGTTTAAATACCTTCCCCCACCCTCATTATCTCGTCCTTATTTATTCAGAAAATCCCCTCTCTGACATCAACTCCAAACCAACACTGCTCACAGGCCTACTGTGTCAGTCAACATTCCATCACTACCGAAAATACCAAAACAATCCACTTAGAAACAGAAAAAGACTGACGTTGGCTCACAATCTGGAGGTTTCAGCCCATGATTTATTGGGCACGTTGCTTTTAGGCCTCTGCTTGGAGTGAGGGTTTGGAGCCAGCATGCCCTTGTGGAAGCTCATGGCAAAGCAGAGCCACTCCCCTCAGGGCCAGGAAGTGAGAGATAGGAAGAGGAAGGGGCTAGAAACCCATAATCCCCTTCTAGACTATGCCTCCAAAAACCCAAAGACCTACCACTAGGCTCCTCCTCTTAAAGTTCCACCACCTCACAATAGCACCATGGACTGGGGCCCAATCCTTTCACAAATGGGCCTTTGAGGGCATTTCACATGCAAGTAATAGCACCAAAGAGGAAGAAATGTTACGTTCTTGTGTTCACAAATATTTATCGTTGGTACCTTTACACAGCTGATAATAGCAAAGGGAAAAGAGGTACATAAATTAGCACATTATGGCCAAGTAGTAGAAGGTGGTAGCAGAGCTTGTGTTCTGTTCTGAG